TCAGGAGCCCGGCTGGCAGCCCCAAGGGAAGAGCCCTCTGGAAACACGCTGTCCTCAGGGCCCTCAGGACCTACGAGTCAGGGCAGCAGGCAGACCGGGACGCAGAGGACGGCACAGGATGGCACAGGACACCTGCCAGGACCACCCTCCACCACAGGCCACCAGCGCACAGGGCCCCGTCCCAACACCAGCCAGGTGCTCCGGGGGAGGAGGCGCAGACCCATGCTGCACAGAGGCAGCGGCGAGCAGCAGAATTATGGGTGTTTTGGACCCGCCAGGCAGCAACCACGCCTGCGCACTGGTATGAGGGCCACGCGGGGGCAGTGATGACCCACACAGGCTGCCCCAGGAGAGGGGACAGAGGACAGAGGACAAACGCCGAGGCCTCTGCCGGGCCAGCCCCAGCACAGGGGATTCTATGGCCTCAGAACGGAGTGAGGCCACCCACCCTGAGGCCCACAGGTCTGCAGCGCCTCACTGGACGGGACACTGAAGGCACAGCCTTCCCAGCAAACCCCTCCCACTGCTATCTAAGGACTGAAACGACGGAGGGCGGGGCCCACGCACCTGTAGTTCATGGCCAGCCGGACGTACTCCGCACGGTTGTCCAGGGTGATGTGTGTGTACTTGGAGCTCAGCTGGACGTCCTGGCCACTGGCACTGGGCACGGTGAAGGGCAGGCTCATGGCCTCAAACTCCTCCGAGGTGGCCTCGTTGTCTCGGATGTACATGAGCCCAGGGATGAAGTCTTTGTCCACCTTTCAGGGGAACAGGGAGTCTGGGTGTTGAGTGGGTTGTCCCCACCCCCGAGGCCCAGCTGACAGCCCAGGGGCCTGGGTCTACCTGGGGCCCAGGGCCAGGCGACCATGCAACACACAGCCAGGGAGTGAGACAGCAGCAGCAGGGGAATCCATGATTCAAGGACATCCTTGAAAATCAATCACTGACAGAATCACAGCCACTGCAGCTAGCCCGCGCCCCCTGACCTCAGCCCCCCACAGCAGGAATGAGCTGCACCTGCCAAGACCCGCAGGCTGCACAGCCCCACACGACAGGCGGTCAAGTCCTCGAGGCAGACGGCCTGCACCCACAGCTCTGCTGCGGGACGAGGTCTGCGCCCACACCCTGGTGACCGTGACCTGGTCAGGACCCAGGGGACCCAAGCTGCCCCACTCCCTTCCCAAGGCTACCTCACTGAGGTCGGCGATGGTGAGGCTCATCCCCGCCAGCTGCTTCCACACAGGCTCGGCCAGGTTGAGGCTCAGGGGGCTCCCGGTGCGGATGGCGATGCCCAGCAGCACACCTGATCGTCAGGGCAGTGACGGGCATTAGAAACCAACGACAGGACACCAGCTCGTTCAACACATGGAGACGGCTCTGCACCGGGCCTCGGCGCCCTCAACCAGAGCTGCCCTGACTCACGAGACCCATCCTTAGGGCACCTCCCTGTTCTAGATTCAGTATCTTTCTGTTCCCAGGAGCTGAGTGTCTAACTCTGCATCTTTCCAGCATCGGCTCTCAGCCGCACCAGGCCCATCCCCACTCCTCTGGGCAGAGCAAACAGCGGGGCTGCTGGGCACAGACCTGAATGGAGGAGTGCGAGGCGGGCCTACCCCCGGGGCCCCTGCCCTCTGACCGGCAGTTCTAGGAACATTCGAGACCCAAACATACCACCCCGAAGTGCCGAGGCCCCTCCCAGTCCCTGGCGCGTCCTGGCAGCTGCACTCCAAAAGGCTGACAGCCGGCAGGGCACCTCTATACCCCTCCCAAGACAGAGCAGACAGGAGGCTGGGGCAGGGCCGGGACGCACCTAGGAAGCGGAACATGTTGGTGTGCACAGGTGCCCTGGCTGCTGGGCTGAACAGGTAGCAGTCGCGGTTGGCCCCTGACTCGTCCCTGCCATTGGGCGTCACTATCAGAAGGGGGGTGAGTCCGTTCTGCAGCTCCTCACAGATCTCCGCGATGGACTCGCTGTAGCCACCTCCACAGTCGTCCACAGATTCACCTGGGGGATGGTGGAGTCAGCCACTCGGTCGCCCGCAGAGCAGCATCCCAGCCACACTCGGACACCCGCTCTCGGGACCCCAAGCCCTGCATGCACGCAGCTCACCCACAAACTTGACCTTCCAGACACGGTGAGGCAGGAGCAGGCTGTCGGGACTGAAGGAGCTCATCTTGGCGCACATCTGGCCGAAGACAGACTTGGTGCCGTCGGGGCCTGCAAGGCCGCCTTTGCTCCTAGAACGTTTGACCTGGAGGAGAAATGAAGGGGATGGCTGTCGCAGCAGAGGGCACACGGGACGCCCGTGGCCAACACTAAGCCCTAGGGCCCCTCGCCATCGCTGCCTTGGCTCCCCTGTCCTGGTCACCACCACTTCGCAGCAGGACCTGAGGAGCTGCTGTGAGTGGAGCCCAGACAGCGAGCAGCACTCAGGTGAGTGAGGCCCCCGAACTCCTGTGCAGGGTGAAAGGCTTCTAGACTGTGCCACCCCCCCCAGTGCTAACTCCCACCCCTCACTGCCTGCACCTCAGCCCTCGCAGGACCTCAGAGACAGACCCTGGGCTCTCCCTCACTCAATGCCCTGTGCTCACATGCAGGCCTCACACACGCAGGCCTCACACACCAGCATGCACCAGGCTCATCCCGCCAACATGGAGTCTAAGCAAACACCCCTGAGAAATCCCAACCCCGGTGTGGCCGCAATCAGCCCGTGTGCTCAGTGACCACCACCTGGGGTGCCTCACACGGCTGAACGTGACCACAGCCGACCCCTCCCCACGTGGCCTCTGTGAGGAGCGGCCCTCCCGGCAGACTTGACACTCGAGTCGGGCGCACGGCGCCGAGATCAATCCTGACGCAGGACTCAGCCAGGACAGGACCTGCCGCCTCTCCTTCCTGTGCGGGTCCCCTCAGCCTCGGATCCCTTGTCTCCAGTATGATCCCTCTTCCCACCAGAACTCGTCCTCATTGAAGATCCCCACCAGACCCGACAGGGGCCCTCACGGGGTGTGGACAGTGACCCCGCAGTCACGGCCGCCCCTGTGCTCCGGCCCCCAGAGGCTCATTGTGAAATGAGGGCAAATGACACGTTACGGCAAACGATCATGAGAACGTGCTTTTAAGTTGCCTCCGCTGCACACTCACCACCCCCACTCCTCAGCGATTTCTAGGTCGAGTGTGAAACAGAATCCTACTCGGTGCACAAACTCCCACACTCAAGGCCACAGACATACTGATGACCGTAAAACAGCGGCCCACGGAGTGAGCTTTTCCCCATGCGAGACGCGGCGCTGTGCATTACAGATGCTAGTTCACGAGACTTCCAGACCGCAGTGGCTGAGCTCAGGAAGGAGGTGTCGGCACTGAGGTCCGAGACGGGCCTGCTCCGCTCTGAATGCCACGTGGCCACGTGTGCCACGCCAGGTAGCAGAGACGGAGCTCAGCTACTGTAAGGAGCACGGCTCTGGCCACAGCGGAGACATGACAGGACAGGCCTCGACCTGACGGGGCCTCACACAGGGTTTCACTGTCTAACCCGAACCTCCTGAACCTCCAGAATGAGCGCAGGCACACTCTGCGACAAGTTTAAACCCAGAACCTATTTACGTGCACTGGGTGCAGGTGCTGCTCCCAAGCTGAACCAAACTCGGACAGAAATCCCTCAGGAACACACCTGGGTATGTCTCTAGGACACTTTCCACAGACAGGAGAGCATCTCCCCAGGTCCCCAGGGGGAGGAGGCCAACCTGCCTTCCTGGATCACTCAGCTTGGATCCCCCCACCCCTGCCTGTGTTCTATTTCTGGTCAGAAAAACAATTCTGGTTCTACCTATGGAGGACTCCCCAGCTCCGGGGTAAATCCAAGCAGCCCTGCCGATGTCCACACGCATGGCACTCGGTGCTGAAGGTTATCAGCCTCGGAAAACGCCTGGTACAAATCTCTACCTGCCCGCTCTTGCAAACACGCGCTGAGCGTGCTCCAGCCAGGCAGCATACTGGCACGCAGGGCAAGGAGGAAAGAGCCCCTGGCAACTGAGACGCCTGGGACAGGAGAGCACAGCGCCTGGCCTGGCTGCAGGCCACTGCGGCGCACTGACTCCGGCCCACGCAGGGGCACGCATGGTGAGGCGGCACGTGGCCCAGGAACCAGGACACCCTGATCTCACCCACTGGCTCACAAACTCCAGTATCTAAGGCCTAACGGTGCGGAGGAGTGAAGTAGCCTTCTACCCTGAGGTGTGGACATAAAAGCCTCTTCATGAGGCCCACTCAATAGCCTGTCTGTGTGTGCAGCAGGCCGCCTGGCCCCCAGCACAGTACAAACCCGCTGACGTCCGCGGAAGGACCACTTCCACCAGCGTGCTCACACGTGGTCTCCGGCAAACCACAAAGTATACGCTTAACCCAAGATGCCCCCGAGGGCAGGCCTGGGAAAGCTTCCAGTCAGGGCCCAGCACAGGGTGGCATCATGTGTCAGCACAGAGCAAGGAACAAACACTGTCTCTGAGGTGCTGCTCCATCCCGGAGGCAGGCCCGGCCACATGCACGGGAACGTCAGGCCCGCACATCACCACCAGGGTCTGATCAGTGACTGACAGGTGGGCAGCCACAGTGGCGGCAGCGGGATCCAGACGGTGTCCCCTCCAGTTCTCTGCTCACAGAAAGAGACGCAGCAGTGACTCGGCTCATGAACTGGCAGCATGAGCCTCGAGGGCCGGGAGCGCGAGGCTGGGGGGACGGGATGGATGCCCCTGACCAGCTCTGCTTCTCAGCACCTAACCCAAGGGGGTGAGTGAAGACACACCTGGTAGGGCAGCCACGCGGCACTGCTGTGTCCCGGAAAAGGAACGCACCTTCCAGCCCTGAAGACATGGGCCAAGAAGACCTGGAGCACACGGGCAGCTGGTGGCACAGACGATGCCCAGCCCCACTGCCCGGCCCAGGGGAATGGCGAGGTGCAGCGTGGCCGCCCTGTGCGGTTACCAGAAGCACACACGTCCCTGCGTGCCAGCAGGCGCTTCCACCACGTCGCAGAGAGACGTGGCACTTGTACTGTCCCTTTCCTGCTAGTCTGGATTTGTGCTTCTGGGTTCAGGCTTCCTAACTTCTGTTACAAGAAAACCATTTCCATCCCCACTCAGCAGCCTCGGCACACAGACGCCCTCGCAGGCGGGCGGCACACGCTCTCTAGAGCAAGGCTCGGCCAAGGCGTGCCCACCCCCACCGCAGGGACAGGGCTCGCAGCCACGACACCTCCCCCGAGCGCAGGCCCCTCCGTCACCTGGATGCGGTTCAGCTCCACCACAGGGCCGTGCTGGCGGTCTCGCACCATGGTTGCTTGTACCACTTTCCGGAACGCCACCTCCTGAGTAAAGCAGGACAAAGTTTAGAATCCGATACCAGAAGTGTTACCACTGATTTTCATCTATTCCCCAAAGTCTCGTTTTCTCAAGAAGAATTAACTGGGAACGCTCTTTTCCAAGCTGTGAGACGACTCGGGGAGCCGGTGGCCTCAATGCAAACGTCCACGCAGGAGGCTCAGGTCATAGCAGAGGACGGCATGGAGGGCAGAGGTGCTGAGTGCCAGCTCCGATTTGGGTCTCGGCCAGAGGCTCTGAGGAAGGGCTAGAAAACCAGAGCTTCCAGCCAAACCCACGGTCCTCTAGGCTGACACTAACCACAAACCACACTTCAGTGTCCCTGTGCTGACGGGCGAGGGACGAGCCACGGAGCAGCAACAGGGTCAGGGAGCCTGGAGAGGCCCAGGCTCGGGAGTGAGGGAGGAACAGGCAGGCACCATGCACGGAGAGAAACCTGGGGTGACCAGGGCTAGGACGGTGAGGAGGGAGAAGGGCACAGCGTCCGGGGACGGGCAGGCAGGCCGCTGTGCGGGTGTGGACCCGGTGCAGGGACAGGCACTGCACACGTGAGGGCCGGAGGAGGAGAGGAGACCTAAGTGACCCCCAGAGGAGGTAGCAGCAGAGGGAGCCCCAGGTCTCTGCCAAGTGGGTGGTGACTTCTGGAGATGAAGCAAGAGGGACACAAGGGACCCGCGCTCCAACCCTGAAGGCAGGGAGAGCTGGGCCCCAGGCAGCCGAGGACACGAGCCAGAGTGGAAAGACCAAGAGTGTCATGGCTGGACCGGCCGGCAGAGGCCCACCCCTCGCCACGCACCCCTGTCCACCAGCCACCACTTGCTCGGCCCTCCCCCGCCTGACCTCTGCTTCCCACTCTGGCCCACAGCCAGGGGGCCCCTTCTCCTGAGGTCTGAGGACACCCTGGTCACAATGCTCCAGTCACCTCCCAACAGAAGCAGCTGTGCACACAGGACCAGACAGGGCTCAAACCCAGGGGCCTGGAGCTGCTGGCACCTCTGAGACCCTCTGCGCCGCCACCCCAGGGCGCACAGCCCCTGTGGGGGACACACCCTGCCTCTCGCTGTTCCTCCTGACCAGGAAAGGCTCCCCCTCACTGCCCACGATCCCCTCCACGTGGAGGGAAAAAACAGTGGAAATGAAGTTTCCTGTCAGAGTCCCCTGCGTCCCATCACAGCGAGATCTCGGCTGTAGCACAGTTATAATCACTAAAGGAAACTCCTGCCAACTGTAAACACATCCCTGCCACGGCCCATGCGGCTCCAAGTCACAAATGAAGATAAGTGGGTGCTGTCCCCCAGCTAGGTGGGGACAAAGCCAGTCCCAAACAGAACCTGAGTGGACAGGACCCAAAACCCCTCAGTTCTACTACAATGAGGAGAGGCCGTAACTGTGAAGGACACGTCACAGACCCACAGGCTCACGGGACGGTGCTCTTCACCCCGACCACCGTTTCCCCACCACACAATGACGGGGTCTCTGCCCGACATCCCGCCAAGGGGGCCCCAGAAACTTGACACTTCCAACAATGGGAACCCCAACGCCTGCGTCAGGCACCCCACTTCTGGAAAGCTCAGGTTACTGCAAACACTGATGGGCCAGATCGTGTCTCACGACTCTCAGAGGCCTCATTCACGATTCTGCTCTCAGCCTGTTAAAGCGGCCTCAGGCCAGGAGCCCACACACCCCAGCACAGAACTGCCCTGGCCGTCCCTGGGAATAAGTGTCCCCTGAAGCCTCAGGCCAGCCAAGCAGCGAGCCCTGCAAGGATGGAGGCTCAGATCTCGAACCCCCACTGCACACGTGGGGAAGTGAGAGGCAGAGACGACAAGGGGCAAGTGCAGCACCAAACACACAGTGCAAACAAAAGGTCTTGCCCGTTTCCACAACGGGCTCTACCTGCCCGAAGCAGAGCCTGCACAAGCAGGGGCCTAGTGAACGACTGCTGAACGAGCTGGACCCTGCACACCCCAGCTTCGCCGTTTCCGTTGGATTAAAACTTACTGCAGATAAGTTTTGCCTGCAGGTGGCTACCAGCGTACCTTTCCCTGGGATATGAGGATGCCCCGCAGGGTGTCAAAGCCCACGGCAGGCCCGAGGCCGGTCTCGTCGAGGGCGCCCTCCAGGTCAAACATGGGGATGCAGGGGCAGAAGAGCTCGGACAGGTGGTGCAGCAGCAGCAGCCGGTTCCGCAGAGCGATGATGGGGATTTCCTGCAGATGGTTGTACTCCATGGGCACCTGCAACAGTGAGACCATGCGCATCACCTGGCGGCAAACCCACGGACCACAGGGCTCTGCAGGCGGAGTCTGGAAATACCGTTTCAAACACAGGGAGGCAATCTGACATCTGAGTTTGGTTTGAAAAATCTTGTAATAACATTCTGGCCACTGTGCCTCTGCCACGTAACGTACACCAAGAAGCAGCTACGATAGTCTACCGAGACGTATCTACCAAGGATGTGGGCGGCCAGTACTGTCAAACGGGTTTACGTAGCTTATACGATCTGGAATGAAGGTGACGCCTTTCACTGATACACAGCCTGTTGGCTGGCGTGAACATTAGGGTCCTTGGAAGTACTGTCACCAACATCCCAAGCCTGAGCTATTTCCAGCAGAGCACCTGGAGGCACACAGGTCAGTACACGGACAATAACTGTCACACTGCGCTTCACGCCCCCCGGGCCCGCAGCACTGACCTGGGCAGGCAGCGTCCCCGCGCTGGCAGGCTTGCTGGTCGACCAGGCCAGGGTGTGGGCCGAGCCGCAGGCCACGCGGTTCACCTTCTTCCCCTGCAGGGCAGCCACCAGCCGGGGCCTCTGGATGGCGTTTGTTGTTCCGTCCCCCAGCTGTCCCTCGTCGTTGTCGCCCCACGTGTAAACCTCGCCTGCAAAAGCAATCGAGGAGGAGGAACTGTGCAGCCGTGTCTTCCAGCACAGCACCGGCGCTCGCTTCCACGGGAGAGGGGCCTCAGGGAGACCCAGGGTCTAATCCCAGCACCAGGCGCACACGCCACTGGGCCCCACACAGCCCTGCTGGCCGCACGCCTCTGGCCTTAGACAGCCAACGGTGTCTGCTCACAGGAAGCACACAGGCAGTGTTCTTAACCAGAGCATTAAGGTAGACGGCAACATCCGGAGCAACCAGACTGTGTGCTGAACGGAGGAGGGGAAGTCGGCTTTTAACTAAACAAAGCGGCGCCTTTAAAGGACATGCAGTTCTCCCCATGGTTACGCACGCCCCAGCACGAGCCTCGTCGGGGGTGACACTGTTCCCCTGCGTGCTGTGTGGGGCCCCCAGGAGCCGCCACAGCCGCTCCGAGGGTGGGGTCAGTTCCCTAGGGACATCACTACACAAGTCCAGGATCCTGCGCCCTGCAGCCTCGTGCCCCGAGACAGCGCCTGCGAGGTCAAGGGCGGAGCCCGCATCCTGCCCTCCTGCTCTCCCAAGTCCAGTCTGATACCTGGGGCAGCAGTGGGAGCACAAGCAAGGACGGGAGGCCTCTCTGCAGAGGTGTAGCTGGGGCAGGAGTCAGAGTCCATGCGTGACAAGGGCTTCCACGCCGGGGTGGCCACTGTGGGCAGTGCCGCCAGAGGGTGGGGGTGGGTAAGGGTCCATGCGGGCAGAGCACAGGCAGTGGGGGACACTGGTCACACACAGGACAGCGACCGAATCACTCCACTGGGGTAACAGGGCCCAGGTTTGTCCCCAGAAGAGAAAGGCGTTCCAGGTATGGACCCCGAGGTACAGGGCTGGAGCCTGGGGTGCGGGTGGGGGTGGCGGTGTTCCACATGCACAGGCACAAACACATGCCCAGCTGGGTAAGGGTCCATGCGGGCAGAGAGCAAAGGCAGTGGGGGACACTGGTCACACACAGGACAGTGACCGAATCACTCCACGCACACGCTCCCCGCTCTGCCCACTGGGAAGGCCCAGGAGCAGTGACACCCCCACAGCACAGAGCGCACCCCCAGACCTCGTCCCCTGTGCACCACTCCCTGTAGACACCAGGCTCCTGGGGAGGCAGCCGAGCCTACTCGCGGGGCCTGGAGAGTCGGAGGAGGACGAGCCGGCGCATTGTGCCCTCGAGCAAGGAAGTGCGTGGCCAGGGACTGCCCCGGGGAAGATCAGAGCACCAAGCACAACGCCCAGGGGCAGGGAGGAGTCTCGGAGCAGAGGAGACAGGACCCGACAGCCAAGTGCACCGTGTTGTGACGTGAAAGGGTGAGCCAGGCGGGGCAGTGACAGTGTGGCCCTCCTGCTGGACAGCCAGCCGGCCGTGGAGCCGTGTCTGCCAGCAGGACACACTCCAGTGCTCAGCGTGATGGGCTCAGGGCAGCACCTACCCTCACAGGGATCAAACACCCGTGAGACCCACACACCCAGCTGGCCTACGAAGGTGCTGTTTTGAAAGCAAAAGAGTGAAATAAAAAGTGTGCGAGTTCCTGATCCAGAGCTGGTGTCGGTCCCATCGCAGGCCATGAAAACTGCTGATTCGCATGAAACTCCCCGTCAGTGGAATAACGGACGCGTCCACCCAACTCACCAGAGGTGACGAGAGAGAGAAGCTGGGGGGGCTGTGGTGAGCGCTCTCCTGCTGCCCTGACCCAGCACCGCGGCCTCTCCACCGGCCAACGTGCACACTCGGGACCTCTCAGTTCACGGTCAGAGCCCACCAGGGGTCCCCTGAGCCCCCATCGGGGGACGGGCTGCCCGGCGGAGGCTGCGGGTAGAGCCGTGTCCTTGCTCATTAGGCCGCTGGCAGGATTCAGCTGTTTGGGGGAGCGAGGCAGAGGCCCCGTCCCCGCCGGCTCTATCCGCAGCGGCAGGTCAGGGCCCTCAAGCTGCGCGAACCTCCCGCCTCATCTCCCGTCACTTCTGTCCCTGGTCTTCTGCCGCCTCCTCTGCTCAGAAGGGCCTCTGTGATTACACTGGGCTCACCCCACAACCCAAAAGAGCTCTCCTGCCCTAAAGGCAGCTGATGAGTGATCTTCACTCCACCTCCAAGTCCCTCTGCCACTGTGTCAGGTCCCCAAGGCCACCCTCAGGCTCAGTGACGCACCAGGAGGCCTCACAGGACAAGAGGCAGAGGCACACTCAGAACCAAGACTTATCTCAGCGAGGACACCGAGCAGCTCAGCAAAGGGAAAAGGTGCCTGGGCGAGGTCTGGGAGAACCAGACACAGGTCCTGTCCCAGTGGAGCCCACAGGACACGCACTGTGACAACACAGGAACTGCTGTCCCTCTGGGAAGCTCATCAGAGACCTGGCGCCCAGGGTCCCCACGGGGCTGGTCTCGCGGGCACCTCTGCCTGGACGTACCCAAGTTCCAGACCCAGGAGGAAGCAGGTCTGGCAGAGACCACACTGTCTGTGCAAAAGAGTTTAGCACAGCGAGGCCTCAGTCAGGGAGTGGGGGGCCCTCCCACGATCCAGGTTCCCAGAGGCCAGTGCAGGCCCACCCTGCACGTGGGACTCTGAGGCTGGCAGTCCCGCCTGTTCTCTGAGCTCCTTTCTGCGCAGCCATGAAACATAACACAGTCACAGGGGTGGACATCAGGGGTGAAGACACACTCTCAGGACACAGACAGCCACCCCCACCCCTCCACAGCTGTGTGATCCGGAGCAGACTCATGGATTCGAAGCCTCCCACCTACCGTCCTCTGTGCAGCACACGCAGTGCAGGGAGCCGGTGGCGACAGCGACGACCTTCTTACCCTGCAGCCCCTGCACCTGCCGTGGTCTCCTCACGTGGTCGTCGGATCCATGGCCCAGCCTGTGGTAATCACCTTTGCCCCTGCGCACAGGAAACACGCGGAGCTCAGTGTGTGAGGCCACCCCAGGGCCAGCACCGAGCTTCAGGACACAGAGCCCGGCCCACGTGGAGGTGACGGACCAAGCGCAGAGCCGTGGACATGACCGCGAGTTCACACCCGGTCCTGGGGTTACAGTCTCACATACCAAGTGTAGACAGCGCCGGACTTGGTCAGGGCAACAGAAAACTGGGACCCACACTCTACTTTCACCACGCCGAGGCCCGTGAGAGAATCGATCTAGAAGGAAAGGCTTCATTAGACAGGCTCCAGCAAGGCTCTGCTGACAGCCACCCCAGAGACGGAAATCGATCCTGAGAACTGTACTTTGTCAAGTATAATAAATACTGACCACGGGCGAGGCTGTCAACACTGCTGTGCTGCCCAGTGCAGAGGCTGCCAGCCGCACGTGGCCACTTAAATTTAGATTTAAATCAGTTAAGAGTAAAACAAAAATGCACTCCCTCACTGACGCTGGTCACATTTCAGGGATGCAGGAGCTTCAGGCGCCTCCCCACAGGCTTTGGCTGTGAGCAGTACCTGCCGAAGCCCCTCCCCGTGTGTGAGGCTGCGTCCACACCCCATACCAAGTTGCCAGCCACCAGCAGCTCCTGCATCCATGAAATGTGGCCAGTGTCAGTGAGGGAGTGCATTTTTGTTTTACTCTTAACTGATATAAATTTAAACTTAAGTGGCCACGTGTGGCTGGCAGCCACTGCACTGGGCAGCACGGCTCCAGGAAGAAAGCCACACAGCTCCAGGCCAGGCACCTGTGGGTCTGAGGGGCTCTGATGGCAGGATATGGGTGTCTGTTCCACACTCGCCATCCCAGAGCCCAGGGAGAGAGGATGCCATAGAGACGACTTCTTGTTCCCGTGCAGAGCCAATACTCCCAAATCCACAGCAAACCACGTCACCTCAACAGCCCACACACATTCACGTACCCTGGGCCACGCAGCAGTCAGCATGTAACCTGAACAGGCCAGTGAACTCCACCTCTGCTGACAACCCAATCACGAGGCTGGACAGTCTTGCAGGTTAGACACCACCTGGTCACCCACTTCAGTGGGGCAGAGCCATCCCACCCTCACCCAGGCCTATGGACCTCTCCTGTGGCTTCCATGGGATATTGGTCTCACAGCCTCCAGCTGAGCCAGATGCAAGTGCCCCAGCACCATGCTGTCCATGGCACACACCTCAGAAGTCACAGTGTGAACATCCTTCCCCTCCAAGGGGTACATTCACATGAGACCAAAGGCACTGGGGCACCCGTGAGATGACAGGAACTTCCGCAAGAGCAAAAGAGCATTTAAAACTCTTCAGCACCTCTAGGCCTCTCACTCACTCTTTACCGAAATACCCAATAGGCTACAAGGAAGGCAGAGCTGAGGCTGGACTGCTCCTTAAAGGCACACGGAGTGGAAGGGGCAGGCCCAGGGCCTGAGCTGCATGGTGACCTCACCACTATGGGACCCGGGGCACCAGGGACAGAGATACCTTCATGGGCACTTTACAGCCATCGCTGCCTCCCCGGCCGAGCTTGCCATAGTCCCCATCACCCCAGGACCACACGGTGTCGTCATCTGTGAGGCACAGGGTCTGGGCATCTCCACTGCCACAGGCGACATCGACCACACGGTGGCCCTGAAGGGCCTCCACCTTCCAAGAAAAGGGACATCAAGGTTAGTGACTGCAATGGCACAGAAATCCACCAAGGGGAGGCTGTGTCTTTACAAAGAACAGGCGATTTTAACGATCCTGTAAGACCAACCAGAAAGCCCCTTCATCTAGCTGCACTAGAGCATCTCAGCTGCAGGAGGCAGGTGTCAATGTCCCCAGTGGGCCAGTCCCGCACAGCAGGGCCGCCATCCACTGTAGGAGGCAGATGCCAATGTCCCCAGTGGGCCAGTCCCGCACAGCAGGCCTGCCATCCACTGCAGGAGGCAGACGCCAATGTCCCCAGGGAGCCAGTCCCGCACAGCAGGGCTGCCATCCACTGCAGGAGACAGATGCCAATGTCCCCAGGGGGCCAGTCCCACACAGCGGGGCTGCCATCCACTGTCCCGTCTACTGCATGGGCTGCTAGAGGACCAAGCACCTCACCGGATGCCGAGCACTGTTAACTAGTGAAAGTAAAAAGGTGCCTCAAGTACCACCCTGTTTAAATGACCCATGGAATACACACCAAGATGGCTTTTATTTCCACCAAAAATAAAGCCCATTTGTAGATACCGAAGCCCTGACCATCGACTATGACCAACTGTAACACAGACGTCAGCCTCTCTCCAGATGCAGGCCTCTCACCAGCTTGGGCTTTAACTGGTCCTCACTGTCGCTGTGCCCCAGGCGGCCATACCGGCCTTTGCCCCATGTGTAGAGGTCGCCAGCTGAGGTGACGCAGGCGCTGTGGGCTCCGCCAGCAGCAATGTCCACCACCTCGATGCCTCTCAGAGACTCAATGACACGAGGGCGGTCACAGGGACTGCAAAACAGGTCATCAAGGACGACTGAAACACAGGTCAATTCTTACACATTTTAAACGTCAGGCTTCTGGTTTGCTGCTCACTGATTCAGGGCAGACTTCTCAGTCTACAACCTTCAAGTCCATTTTTTTGCCCTTTTTCTTTTTTATACTTTTATTTTTCAATGACAGTTGACATACAATATCGTGTTTCAGGTTTACACTCCAGTGATTAGACACTGTATCACTTCCTAAGTGACCATCCCAATACACCCAGTGCCCGTCTGACACCACTGTTATTACAACATTATCACAATATTCCCGACATTCCCTGTGCTGCACTCACATCCCCACGACCAGGATGTAACTACCGGTCTGTGCTTCTTAATTGCGTCACCATTTTCACCCTCCCGTCTGGCAACCATCAAATGTTCTCTGTATCTGTGCGTCTGTTTCTGTTCTGCTTGTTCACTTTTGTTTTTTAGATTCAATTGTTGACAGATCTGTTTATTGCCATTTTATTGTTTACAATTTTTAATCCTCCCCCAAGGATATTCTCTCCACTGCTTTTCAGAAAGTGGAA